GTTGTTAAACCCAGGTCCCCAGCAAAAATCAGGCATTTTGTGAAGCAGCTTAAATCCCCAAACAAAAACTATTGCACATCAATAGCAGAAACAAGCTAAATAGCTTAAAGATATGCAAAATAGTGCATGTACTGTACATGAAGAGTTTAAAATTAATGTCTACTTCTAAAACGTTTAATTTTGCCAAACAAAAAATGGCAATGTAAAATCAGAACTCCGTGACTTTCAATGTGGTGCTTCTGATACATAAACACCATGACACTTTGCCCAAAAGACATCTTATAAAATCACAAAATGAGGTTGGATGACTTTACCATCTCTCATTCTAATTCCTTTGAGATCAATGGCATTTGTGCGATTTTTTGTGTTAAGTCAATTTGCAGCTGAAGGATTTCTCAGTGCCAATAAGACTCTTCAGGATAACTAAAAGGTATATTTTTAACATCAGAGAGCAACTATATATGGAGGATGTTAATGTTTTCCATTTGTTTCCCTTGACAACTGTATAAGTAGCTTTTGTAAAGCTGAAAAAACTAAAAGTAGCTGAAAACATATACACAAACAATAGAAGATTTTTTTCTGTCTGGACAAAAATGTGTTAAATTATAAAATACAGCATAAAAAGTGGTGTTCATTATTCAATCAATGACTAATTTCAAAAACGAGAGTCATATGCCCTGCTTAACATTTAATTACTTATTTTTATTTCATTCCTAAAGTTCTAAAAATATGATTTGATTTTAACTTTTGTTTTTTAATTCTAGGGAACTACAACCAAGACCATGATCTATAAGATTCAGGGGGATTTACTCTTCTATGCTTGTCCTTTTAAATGCCAAATAGTGTTGGTTCAAGTGGCAAAACACCATAAACAGAAGTCAGCATTTCATGTTCATACATGCAAATTTGCAACTGTTTTGTTTGGCCCCGATGGAGCACTGCAGAGCAAGCTAGCATTGCTATGGCAGCTAGCCCCCCCTCTTTTCCCTGTCAGTCTTGCCCATTGCCATGGATATATAAATAGACAGGAGGCCTGTATCACCTGGGGCAATTTATAGCCAAGCCTTCCTCAGGTGGTTCAGGTTCCTTATAGTCTGCTTGGATTATGCTCTCGTATAGAGAGCACCTGATGCCTCCCATGCTTTGTTCCCTGTGTTCCTGACCATGTACTCCTCTTGTATTTGTTATTTAGTACATCTTTGGATTTCTTTAGCATGCTGTTTCTGATTATGGACTCAATTTGTGTTTTGACCCTGGCTTCGGATTCCCTCGGTGCTGTGCTTACAGTGTCTTCTTGGTTTAGGACATCGCTTTTACCTCTGCCCTCAAACTGTGTTTGCATGCCTGTGTACGTCGCTCGCCAGTTCCCTTGCTTATTGGACACACTGCGCTGCCTGCTCATGTCAGCTTGCTTAGTTCCTACCGCTCTGCTTCATTACTTGCCTGCTCCTGGGTTTTCCTCTCGAACTATGGACAGCTGCTTAATTCCATCTCAAGCAGCGGACATGACAGTTCCTACTTAATTAATGTTCATGGGTAATTACATTATCTAATCAAGAGAAGCGCTAATATTTCTGTCAACCAAGATGTACTTCTCTCTGAAAAAATATTTTAAACAATGCATTTATATCTACATTTTATATCTAAGCAGATTTTTTTTCTGTACTGTAGATGAAAAAGCCTATCATTCAAAGATGACACCTCTTCACAATCAATTTCTCCTCATTGGGACAGGACAGGACTTAATTTGAATGATCCTTGCACATAATGGCAAGTTTCTATTGGGTGGAAAGAAGAAGCATCTGGCAATAAACTACAACCTTGCTATCAATTTTCTAAGAATGTGATTTGGGAGGGGGAATAAAAACTATGTTTTTTTCCAGACCTAAGTATTTCATCTATCTGTTTTGTAAAGTATTCCAAAGTGTTTGGTGCAACCACATGATTAGAGAGATGGTATGAGACACCCACAATCCTCCACAGTAAAGTGTCTCCTGTTTTTTGCCCTGAACACTCCTAAACATAATTCCCACTTGTGTGCTGAGGTCTTTGTTTTTACAGAAGCTAACTTATAGACATGGTCAACGCCTGTCAGGATCACGTCCCCTCTAAATATTCACTGCTCCATTCCTTTAAGTGGTCAAAGTATTACATTGTATTGACCTATATTGTGCAAAGTATTCAAAGTGAAGTCTAACTACTGCTGAACTAACACTGCCTGGTACTCAGGTAAAGAACCTAGCCCTTGAGAGGAAACCTCACTGGATCCATTTCCTCTTGGACTCCAAAATAAACAAGAAAGAAGTTTTGGGTAGATTTTTTGATCAATCATTTAGCTTCTAGCTGATTTCTGCAGCAGACTTTTTCTGATTTTGAAAATGAAAAAAATAATGGAATGAAGATTATGTTGTGTAGTAAGGCAGTTCCTTTGCATCTGAAGCGTTTGTCCCCTGCACGTCTGCTGAGCTCATTGGTACAAACTACGTTTGGCGATGAAGTATATAGTGATTGAAATCTGACTGTGTGTTCTGAAGAAAAAATTGACAGCTGTAGAGTGAAACAAGGGATCTCATTTATTGAAAACCAGCTCTTTCACTTAGCCAGAGGGAGTTTTCACAAGCAGAACCTTCATTGCCAGGTTTTAAAGACAGACCTTTGATGACAAGCCAGGGAGGTTCTTGACAATATTAAGATGAAGACATAAATAAGAATGCATGTTTAAAACATGAACAAAGATGATCACATTAGCTTGATTAGCTCCTACAGACCAGCAGAGCAGAGTTACAGAACCGCTCTTCTGTAACTGAGAATTCTGAATTGGTAGGCTGCTGTCGCTTAACTTGTAGGAGGAAAACATTATTGCTGTATTGATCCAGGCATGTAATATACAGCATTTCTAAATAGATTCTTATCAGGAATGAGAAACAAAGCAAGCAGAAATCAAAGGGCACTGAAAAAAATGACAAAATAACATTGCAAAAAAGAACAAAGGCCAAAATAGCAAAACTGGTTTTCCAGAACAAATATTTGCATTCATCTTTTACTTTTAAATTAAGAAGTACCTGAAGTTACAGATAGATATATCGTATCATCCCCTGGTTTAAATTTAGATGTTGCCGATAAGCCAAAATAAAATACTGTTGTCAGTGTTGGTGGAGTCCTGAATTCATCTGGAAATATCTGCAAAATGAAATGCTATGAAGAAATGGACACCCAGCAAGAATGGTGTCCAAGCAAAATACATTCTCATATTATGAATCTATAGGTGGATAAAACATTAACATAACAATACAGATTGTTGATCATCTTTCATATAATATATTTGGATGTTGACACTACTGGTTGTCTAATGGCTGATGGATAGCATTTAATCTGCTGTTCCCCTAGATCTGGTTCTCTTCAGAAATGATTAGTCAGCTTTTCTAATTTTTATCGAAAGTGATATATCATATAAAATATGCTCTTTCTGCATCTGCGATTAAGTCCTTTCCATGACTGCTAGTGTTGGGGCTAGTAATACCCTGCCTGTTATTATAATGCTCTTATTGTACAGTGCAAAGAGATAGTATCTTGTGGAATTAGGCAATATTCTGAATAACCTTTTATATGTGGACTATGTGTCAATACTGGGGTACTTGTGTATATTTCACCAATTTCAGCTCTGCAGATTACTTAAATTTGAAACATTATTGATTACATCTGTCTTACATTTATAACTCCCCATTTATTTGACTTTAAATGTAATAGATATTACATTTCTATTACTGTACACATCATATCTATGTAATCAATGTGTTGATAGTTTAAAGCATACATTTGGATGAATGCCCCCAAACATTGAAAACATTCAACACATTTTAAAACATTTAAAATGTTTTGAAATCGACAAATGCTGCTTGGATAGCATTCAGGGTTGGGAAAATCTGTCTGCTTGGTCACCAGGTTTGATTAAGGAAAGCTGACATGGTGACTTTCAGAGAGCGGTTGGCTAATTCCTCTAGAGATCTGCCATTTTAGCAGGCTGGACCTTGTGCCCCACTGAGGTCCATTAAGAGAACAAAAGAGACGTTTGCTCCTAATAATTTTATGATGTTATATTGTGGTTGTGTTCCTTGGAATGCAGGTTTTATAGCTGAAATTTAGAAGAACCTCAGATCCTCTTTTTTACTCTTATTTTTTAGATTTAAATAACATGAAGATCTGTGAAACTGGATAGACACCAAACTGAACAGCAACAAAACAAAATATAGACTAAAATAAAAAAAAATACTATTGTGTACTACAAATGTCAATCCCTTGCCTTCCAAAAGACATAAAGAACATCATACTTAACTGTAAGATACTGCTTTATTCCTTTGGTCTAAAATCGAAATAGCATCTTCTATTTTGCAAAAATGTCCTTTTAAAGGTAAATACCAGCAATACACATGAAAACCATTTTTTAACAGGGTCTGAACAGTTTAGTTTATAGTCTGCAATGAAAAACTATTGTGGCACAAAAAAAAGGTTAATTTTATTACTTAATGGTTAATTGTAAAAGGCAAATAAAGTGAAACATCTCAACCACAAGAGTATCTTCTAAAAAAGCGAGAGATATTAAATAAATTTCACTTTAGAAGGCTTTGCACGTTTGAGACATAATTTTTTAATTAAGAGAAATACATTTTTTCTGATTTATTTTGAAGGTTTTATATAGTCTTATGGAAAACCGCTGCATACTGTATACAGTATTATCGCGCATGAAACGGCGATTAAATAGCGCGATTTACGTTTTTAGAATATGAAAATATAAACTTTATTATGTTTTTAAAAGTTTTGATTTTTACCTCGAAATTACAATATTTCTTAGTGCTTTTGGGGTGTCGATTAACCATGATTACAATGGTGCATTTTGGAGAAAACAAAATATTTTTTTCCTTAAATGTCCGACTGTAGCTCAAATAAGATAAAAATCAGGTCGTGCGCACCGGCCAGGTGGCGTAGCGGGCAAAGTCAGTGTTGCAGCTATTGAAAACCAGGCTCCAAGCCCTGTGGTTTAGAGTAGCCTAGAGCCCCCCCGGCACCTCTTCGCTCAGAGCGGGTTCGAATCCAACCCGGGTACGGTCCGATCACGCTCCACAGGCGAAGTGCGTTTTCCAGCAGCCGGGTCTGCACCGGGCCGGTATTTTTAGGGGGGTGGCCATTCTAGGTCACACCCCTAAGAATGGGGAACATTGCACGGGATTAAGGCAAAAGGGGGTTCCAAAAATGGAAGATTTGACGTAATTGCAGATATTGGCGGCGTTTTACGTCACTGCCACCTGGCATAACTTCCCCACGAGTGCGTGCGGCTCTCTTCCCCTTCCACGCGTGGGTCTGATTCAAGATGGCGGTGCTGGCAGTTTGCGAGGTAATGTTTCTCTTTTGAAACACTTTAAAATATTATTTTTCTGCCCAAAACGGGCTAGAATCCGGTGTTTTTGTTTTTGAGGTTTCATTTAGGTACGAGACTTTTCAGAAAGATGTCCTTTTATTGAGTGAACAGTGTATTTCTGTGCTGTTTGAACGGGGGTGAAGTTTCCCTCGGCAAGGAAAGGAGTTGAAACTATTTTCTTAGCCGAACCTTGTTGAATACTAATGCATTGTTATTTTGCAGAACTTCTGTCTCCCATCCAGTTGCTGCAACCGAGACCTGAAGGTGTTGGAACCAGTTAATTATTATTTCTTTGGCATTGTTGGACATTGTTCGGAATTGCCGGCGTGTGTTTGGTTTTAAGTAAAATGAAATAAAATGGTAAGAAAACATCCTTTTTAAACTCCATTAAATATACTTTACGTGGTTGACTAATGGTTGAGGAATAAAAGGGTGAAATTGTTGTAAGGTTTTTTAGTTGGGAGTTGGGAAGGAGTTGAAACCATGTTCTGTAGCTGAACTTTGTTGAATACATTAGTCTTTTTTTATTAGTGTTAGTTTGCAGAACTTCTGTTTCCTATCCAGTGGCAGGAACCGAGACGTGAAGCTGTTGAAACCAGTCATTTTTAGAACTTTGAACTATTCTTCTTTTTTCTGTTCGGAATCCAGTATAGATAGAGGTGTGGTGTTTTCCATTGGATCTGTAGGCGGGATAAGTTTTGCCTTTCGATAAATCCCAAATGGTCTGTGCTAGCACTACATATAAGGACAAATTATATATAAGCACTACATATAAGGACAGACTATATTTACACATTGCACAAAGAATCTTTAGAATTGTAAATAATATTGAGCATCAAAAGAAACACTGCATAACTGTCACTTTGCTGCGGGTAGTTATCAGGAAAATCAGTGTAGCAGGTGTACTGGGCAGACTAGACATAAGTCATTTCATTTTGCTGATCATGTTTCTGATCAACAGGGGGTCTCCTTTGAAAGGCGCATGCTAGTGTCATGTGTGGACACACATTCCAAGCTGCACATCTGTCTTGCAGCGTGCTGTGGTCACTGTCTAGAGGGATTCGGTTCTCTCTCCCAGATCCGGGACAAGCACGTGCCTGTTCGCTGATCACTGAAATATACGTGTTCAGTAGAGCTTTCGTCTGGTGAGTAGGGCCTTCATGGCTTTGACTGTCTAGTTGTCATCCTGCACGTCAGCTGGGTTTACAAGAGCAGCATGAGAACATGCACTGTCCTGCAGGCATGTTGTCACTTCAGGATGAGTCTGCATGAAGGCCAGGTAGTGAGGACCCAGGACATGGGCAGTGAAGCACCATGCAGTCAGGTTGTTCAAACACTGCATGAGGAATTTGATAGCAGCTAGAGCATCACACTAGTATCTCATTGTTTCTCTGTAACATCCAGTGCTTTGCAAAAGTATTCAGACCCTCTACAAGTTTTCAAGTGTTGCTGGATTACAAATGATACTTGTGCATCCTTTTCAAATCACTATTTGTGTTGCAAACTCGCATGCTCATTTTAAAAGACAAAATTAGTTATTTGTCTGCAGATTTCTTAAAGCAATTCAAAAACTGAAATATGCTGCTGCACAAGTATTCATACCCTATTCATATTTGATTATGCCTTTTCGGAATGACTTTAAGTCTTTGGGGTAGGCGTCTACTGGCTTTGCACACTGGTTAGGAGTAATGTTCGACCAGTCCTCTCAAGAAAAAGCTTTGTGTTCTTTGACTGTAATGCAGAGTAACAGTACATGTGAACTGGGGAAAACAGGTCTTGAAACATTTTGTCTAAGACTTGCATTCTTAATGGCATGTGTTGTCTTTTTCCTTAGACAAAGAGAGCCAGTACTTGGTGAACATGGCTGCTGCAAGTCTAGTTTTGCCGCGACCTGCCTGTTGCTGAAGCCTCACTCCAGCGGGATTCACTCTGTTTCCACAGCCGGTAAGTGTTGTCATTGTGCTCATGGTTTGATGTAAGATGTATAGGTAATGGACCACAAAATAGAAATGCCGATGTTCTGTCACTTAAGACGGCATTTGAACAAGCTGTGTGCATCACCAGTAGTATATCTAGCTGTGGCAGTAACCCCATTGCATCACACCTCCGGTGTGTTGAGTGGGGCTTTGCCATGTGGTCTGGATAGTTCAGATTCTAGATTTTGGTTGAGCAGGGCAAAGGTGCTCCACTAAAACTATTGATTTAACTTGCTAATGAAAAAAACCCTGGTACCTGAGCAGAACAGCACCAAAACAAAATCTGTTTCACCTTCATTTTAATTTGTGAGCGTTTTTAATTTGGGGCCTTCAGACCGTTGGCGGAGCTGTGCACCCCTTTTTTTGAAAACATTGTGCTTTATATTGTGCCAGTCAGGCCTCTCGCATACTTATGACGGAAAGGGGTTCTCTTGATATGTAGGGCATATGAGTTCATTTGTGGGGGTGTTTTAAATGACACCCATTTTCTTACCACTTCTTCCAATTCAGGGTTGGGGTGGAGCTAGAGCACATATTGGCAAGTCAGGGTTTACACTGAAACGGACTCCAGTCCATCCCAGGGTGCGCACACGCATACATGCTCAGCTCTTTGTCCAGGCAATCAACCAGTTTGTTTTCAGACCGCGTGAGTAAATAGGAGCACCCATAGGAAACCCATGTGAACCTGGAGAGAACGTACAAGCTCCATGCAGACAGCAGCCCTGTTCCGGGACTGAATCCAAGTTCTGTGAAATCTACTATATGGATCCTGGCACTTGGTTGTAGCCAACTGAATTGGTATTGACTCATCTTGCTGTGAATCTGTTTCTCTTCTCACCTGCCAAATTTATCACTTAATGAGACCGCTTCATGGACAGTACATATGAAGTTACTTGTGTATTTTTAGAAGTAGCTTGTAGGGAGAAGTGAAAAGAAAGCGTTTTATCCATTGACTCTAATGAAGAGCAACAGTAAATCTCAACTGTGCAATCTGAAGTGTAAACATTGGGAACTTTTTGTCTAAGGAGTGTATTTTAAATGACATTCGTTTTTTTCTTTCCAAGATCTAGAGAGCCAGTACTTGACTGCTGCAAGTCCATTTTTCGAAGCCTGCCTCTCGGTTAAACCTCACTCCAGCGGGATTCACTCTGTTTCCACAGCCGGTAAGTGTTGTCTGTGTGCTCTTGATTTATTATAGAATGTATAGGTAGTGGACAGAAAAATTGGAAACACCAATGTTATGTCACTTAAGAGGGCATTTGTCCAAAATGTGCAGTCCATATGACCTGTATGCGATGACTGAGAAGGTCATGATAGATGGATAACATCATTGTGATGCTCATCAAACTACTGGGTTGCCCACACATGCTCTGTTTCCCTTGCACCTAAAATTGATGCATGGATACCACAGTCCTGGGAGTATGTGCTTCCAGCCTTTGTTGATGAGGTCTTTCCTGCAGACTTCCATGCTTTAGGTATCATTGATTGTGAAACATCAGCAAGTTGAGCCGTCTTACTGCAGCTACTGCAGGACCTGCGCTAACCATCACCCCACTTTCAAATGCACTGCAGTTTCTTCTTGCAGCCTTGGTAGTTGTAAAAATATATTTTTCTACAAGACCTCAAGCATGCCAATCTGCTTCATGCATGAGCCCTTTTGCCCAGATGTTTCCAGTTTTGTCCACTAACTGTAGATCAGCTTCTTGAAATGTAGCTGTTGGAGTTTCAGCTGCTTTTGCTTTTGCTTTTATTCTGTGCATCACCAGTAGAATAACCAACCACGACAGTAACCCCACTGCTTCTTGGTTGCATGCCTCAGGTTCTAGATTTTTATTTAACTTGCCAATGTAAAAACCAGCCGCTGCCAGAGCAGAACGGCACCAAATCAAAATCTGCACTCTCATTTCATTTTCATTTGTGAGCATTTTTAAGCTGGGGCCTTCAGACCAATTGTAGAGCTGTGTACCCCTTCCTCTTGAAACCATTTGTTTTATGAGACTGTTTAGCCAACTATACCTGTTGTCTGGTGCCACTCAACCCAGTTTCCATTTGCTGCTGTGGAGAAGCTCCTGTGCTTTAAAATTCACCGGTTTCAGCTGATGGGATTATTTTCAGTAATATTTGATCATTGTGAATTTTTTTTGTGCAATTGTTAACATGGTTATTGTTTCTCGTCTAGGACTGTCCCCCCATGGCTCCGCTGAAGTCTGGCTCTGCTACCTCAATCCACCCATGTCCCAGAGATGGTTCTGCTCCTGTTATTGTCTGTGTTCCTTTTGCACTGTACTCAATAAACTATGGTATGCTCCATTTGTTGCCTCTTCATTGGTTGCAGGCTTTGCTGCTCTTTGTGCAGAGGAGGAACCAGGGCAGGAAAGGCAGGTGGGTCTTTTTTGCATATGCAGGAGGTGGGTTAGGCACAGCTCCTCCCCAAACAGGGAGATAGCCAAAATTTGGGCCCGTTCCAGGGGGGGGCAGAGGGCGGGAGATGGGGAAGGGCTGGCTCCTCCCCAAACAGGGAGATAGCCAAAATTTGGGCCCGTTCCTGGGGGAAACAGGTGGGGAGTAGCTAGGAGGGCAGAGGGCGGGAGATGGGGAAGGGCTGGCTCCTCCCCAAACAGGGAGATAGCCAAAATTTGAGCCCGTTCCTGGGGGAAGCCAGCCCTTCCCCATCTGCTACCCCCCACCTGTTTCCCCCAGGAACGGGCTCAAATTTTGGCTATCTCCCTGTTTGGGGAGGAGCCAGCCCTTCCCCATCTCCCGCCCTCTGCCCTCCTA